AAAAAGATGCCGCACCTGTCTCCGTCAGAATGAAGCTTTGATTATCTGGTTTGTTTTTTTTACGAGAACAATGCACTATAGTAAAAACACAAGGGTAATTATTTGTATCAAATTAAAGGCAAAATTCGAAAAATTGCGCGTTTCGAAAAAAAAACTGTGGCATACTGTTTTTATTTGGAAAAATAATGCCACTAATTCCCTGTATCTCCGCTGCTGGTGCACGTTAATTTGGACAATACTTGGGTCCACAAACCAAATTTTAGTTCATTCCAGTTGACGGTTTTGAAGGTATTGAAAGAAATGTTTTTTTATTAAAAATGTTACATAGAAGACCCTCCCCCCTCAAAATGCGGTCCTGTGAATCATGTAATAATTTTTGGACTTGTGAATCACCCTGTATAGAACTCAATGTATATCTGAGGGTTTTGTTGTGTATTTAACTAGAAAAAAATAAGTTTTTCTCTTAGATACTGGGTTTACCGGTTGCTAGCAGTTTATGGAGGAAGACCAATGATGAAAATTTGTCACCGTCGTTTTGAATCACTTGTAAACGCCTTTTAGTGAGATCATCCAAGCAAGGCTTGACAATAATTAATAATTGAGAGAACAAGGGATTCAGTTAGCTTTTTTTCGCAATGCAGAGCAATGTCAATTGAATTTTATTTTGCGAACTGATCCAGCAGTTTAAGTTTGCTTGTATTATCTTTATTTATATCTGAACAGAATGACGCAAAAAGGTATGGATTGGTTTAAAGCAACTTCTCTGGCAAAGCCCTCTCTTCTAGATCAATTTATCTGATCCAGATGTTATCAATAATTATTTCATGTCAGTGTACAGTATAAATAATGCCTCGGAAGAATGTCACTTTACAAAAATCTTCACTTCTTTCCACCCGATTACTTTTCATTCAGAGGCGTTGGTCAATCGACCTGTTATATTTTTCCACTTAGTTCACATTATCAACCTCTGTCTTGAATCCGGTCACTTCTCTAAAATCTGGCAACAAGCACTGTTAATACCCACAGCAAAAACTTTATAACCCGGTATCCTATCAGTTCTCCGACAAATTAGTTTACTACCTATTTTATCGAAAATTCTTGAAAAGATTGCACAGCTTTAACTCACATCATACATTGAATAACATCAGGTAATTCCACCTCATCAATTCAACGTCAGTGTGTTTCATTGAAGGGTATAACATCTGATGTCACCCTTCAAGAGTGCCTCAGGGTTCCATTCTGGGACCGCTTTTGTTCTTAATCTATACCTTTGACTTATCTAGATCAGTTCACAGGTTAGATATTCAATCATTCGCTGATGACACACTGCTCTCCCATTGTTTCAGTACAGATGACATACACGGCACTGTATTGATAATCTATGCAAATATTCTGCGGAGCACAACCTCAGCATAAATCCGGAAAAATATAAGATATTATTGATTTGTTCTGAGAGCAAGAGGAACGACGTTGTTTCGCGCTTGAATGTGGACATCGACGATAAGTAGCTCCAGCTCACCAATAGTGCTAAAATATTTGGTGTAGAACTTGATATGAAACTGAGATTCACCGAGAATGTGAAAAATCTGACACAAAAAACCTATGCACGTTTACGCAGCTTTTATTCAAACAGATATCTGCTAAACTTCAAAATAAGGAAAACACTTTGAGTGACCTTGGTTATGTCTGTCTTGAACTACTGCAGTAACCTATATTTTCCCTGTTTGGATCAGGTCACTAAACACATAATCCAATTTATTCAAAATAGCTGTGTTCGCTTCATATTCGGCGTGAGAAAGTTTGACCAGGTATCCCATAAATACTTGAGTTAAGATGGTTAAAGTTTGATCAGTTGGTCAAGCGACATTTTTCGACATTTATTCACTTTGGCCGCAGGTTTTCAGTAGACTTTAGGCAGGCACTGTTCCGTGTACCACTTAGCTGTAACTGTCTTCTGTATGTCCAAAACAAAACGACACTATCCACAATCCCGCTCAATTTGAAAAATACAGCTATCATTTTTTCTTAATAGATATATCTATCTAAGACCCACACTTTATTTTGAGGCTTTTTCGGCACATCGTAATGATAGAGCCAAGTCTCGTCACCTATCACGATGCTGTTCACATATCGAGATTGCCCCTTATCAAACATTTTCAGCATCTTTCGGCAGACTATGCGGTACCCAAAGGGAAGAAGGCTTCCTTACCTGTAAAGGGTCATGCAGAATTGAATGAATTGCTGGTGCCTGAAGGTGTAAGGTCTCATCTATCTGTTGGTATGTCACTCTCCGGTCTTCGTCAAGCATTTTCCTGTTTGCTTTCATCTGTTACCGACGTTCGTGGCTTTCCTTCCCTCTCAGCGTCCTCCAGAGTGAAATTGCCGCTTCAGAATTCTCTGTACCTTTTGAATATAGTCATACGATGAGGACAATCATTCTTTTATTGCAAGCGTCATTTCTTCTAAGCACTGGTCTATGCTTAAACTGTAACGCTTCCTTTACGCAAAAAGTCCAGAAAAGATGGAATGCAATGAAGATTCCAACTTTTCTGCACAATCACAGAAAGGGGGTTACCATTAGCTTCCGGTAGCTCAGTCGGTGGCATGAAGACATCTACAGGCGTGTAGCTATATGTCGACCATGGCATGGCTAGAGGATAGAAGAACAAACAGAACACAAAAATTTAACAGATTTTATTTAACAAAAAAAAAGCATTTCCATTACATTACAATTTTACAGTTTTAAAGAACAAAATAAGTTTTACATCTTTGGCGCTGCTATAAAACTATCAACTTATCTTTCGCTGGTCCATTTTGACTCGACTGAAGCGAGGATGGCCAGGTGCTTGAAGTGGAGGTCCCAGTTATGAGGGGTGACCTCACATATAGTGGCTTCAAAACCAGTTGTAGGCGAAGTTGAACTTAAAGGCGATGGCGCTGCCAAGGCACATGCATGGGTGAAGTGATAGGCCAAGCAACGCAAAGTCAAAGACTAAGGCAAAAGCAAAGTCAAAGACAAAGGCAAAGGGAAAGAGAAAGAGAAAGGGGGTGGCCCCAATCATTTTGTCCTATACGGACACACATTCTACAAAATTCTAGCACATGGTGCTATATGACCTTGTGCGACAGAGAAGAAAATTCTTAGCTCTTGTTCGATCGGCGGCTCAAGTGAAAAGGAAGCGCGAGGAAGATCGCAGATCAGGAACTCCGCATCAAGCGCTCCAAGCGGAAAATTTTCCAAGCAAAAAAGCTAGAGATGGGATTAATGAAATGATAATCGAGAAGTGATTTAATAAATACGATCGGACGGTGAAACCGTTACAAAACCACGCGTAAAGTTATACCGTAAAACTGCCCCTATCTCACTACGTGACCACGATGCCAGTAACATGCAGCCTCCTGCGTCCGTTTGTTAAGTGATATTGCAAGACTTTTATATGGCCTAAATACCGAAGTTTTAAAGCTTTCGTTTGAGGTATTGGTGGAGACATTGACACACCTATTTGATTTATGTCTTTTTAAAGGTATATTTCCAGATGCATTTAATATAAAAAAGTAATTCCTGTATACAAGAAAGGCGGTATATATCATGCCTAGATACTTGTAGACTTGTCTGTATGATTCCTACAATTGCTAAATACTTCTTTGACAGCAGCATACTGAATACGTGCCATCGAAGGTTTTGAGGATGGTAAACTCACGTCTTCGACGCTTTGTGATCTTTCAAAAGCCCTTGACTGTGTGTCGCATAAAATACTGCTGGAAAAACTAGAATTTTATGGTATTAGTGGACACTTTGTGGAGTTTTCAAGTAGTTTTCAGCAAATAGTTTCTGTGGATGGCGAAGAGTCAAACTATAGATCAGCAGAATATGGTGTACCGCAAGGCTCTATTTTAGGGCCATTACTTTTCGTGATATATTTGAATGACATGGTCCATTATTTATCACCAATAAATTGCGTGTGTTTTGCATGAGGACAAAAATGTGCTCTTTGTAACCACTATAGACATTGAAATCAAAGTATAAGATGGTCTGCGGCGAACTGCTTAAAACTTAATAGAGACAAAAGTCAAAAGATCATTCTGTCCGTAAACAATCGCTTCAATGAAAACGAAACAGTTTCTCTTCTTGGCATTAAAATTGATGGTGCTCTCAAATGAGAGGCTCATGTAGAGTCTTTATGTAAAAAACTTTCAACGCATTTATTCGTATTGCGACAATTACAATGTATCTCTACTCAAGAAGGCCTATTAACCGCATATTTTGGCATTTTTGAATCTCATCTGATCTATGGCATCATGATTTGGGAGGATCATGTCACGTTGTGCTTGTGTTCAAAATGCAAAAACGTGCAGTGAGGATTACAACAGGTGCTAAGTTCGATGAGCACTGCAAACCTCTCTTGTATCTACATACTTTACACTTTGCTACACATCCATGAAAACTTGAACTGCTACACAACTTAATCAGAAATCCACAACTACAAACTGGAACACTGAGACTGCCACGTTATAGACTAGATATATCTGCCAGAAATTCATTGAATCTAATTTTTTACAATAAGTTACCTCGGACCATCCGAGAGCATTGTATGCAATTTAAAAAGCAAATTAAGTGCATCCTCCTCAATCAATGTTTTGACTCAGTGGAGGTGTTTTCAAATTATAAATTTTAATTTCGTTTGACCTTCTTTTACTTTATGGATTCTACATCCAGTGATGTCATACATATAATTTATATAATATGACCAATAAATGATCAATCAATCAAACTGAAAATGCGTTTAAGGCCTTATCTTATATGTTTGTCCTGGGGCACGGAAAATAGTAATGGTGCAAGAATGCGTCTTTATTGGATGGAAGATATGTGCATATATCGACTACCCTATTTGAAGTAGTTGCTACAATTCGTTTGGGCATTTACTGAAATTTATGAAACAGAAAAGCTAAAGAGAGCGGCATCGCAACGCAGCAGCCTGTCAGATCTGCTTGACGCTGCACCGTAACCGTCACGAGGCGTCGTCACGACGCCCGTCCGCAGTACCGCCACTACCACGACGCGCTTTCGCAAAGCTCAGTCAACGCCGAGCGTCGGTTGTTTCAACATCGAGGCCGCCTATGATCACGACCCGTCGCTGCTGACAGACGAACATCGCGAACAAAAGCGCACTACTCTCGCCCTTATTTGGTATCTTCATCTAGTGTGCAGGGTGCGGTCAGAAGTGGGATAGTGAATATTGTGAGTGACCGGGTGATATGTGCCAAGCGCGGTCGAGGGCCAGTTTTAGGGTGCCATCAGAGTTGAATGTCACCATATAGCAGGTACCGGCCATTGCCGGTTAGTGGATCAGACGGACTGGCTGCCGTTCTGCATCAGAACGGAACACCGGGCTGCAGGCAGAGCCCCACCAGCGCCTGCAGATTCCTCAGGTGGATATCCAGGTTCAGCCCACAACCGGGCAATAAGCAAGGAATAGGTAAATAAACATATCCATCCCAGATACTTCCACATCTCGGAACAAATTGTTGAAATAATCCCACGACAGTTTCTCAAAAAGGGTTGCAAATTGGAATATAGCACGAATAAATAACAAAAAGAAAACTGATGAGTGATTACGAAAAATCACAACCCGGTTAATATTACGCTAGCTTTGTTGAATTGGCACAGGAGATGTGCTTTTCCATTCTGTAAGCATCAAACACACCTTCCAAATTGAAAAATGCAAGCCAAATGAAACGCTGTACTGATCTAGGATTTAGAGATCGTAGCACCACATATAGCTACACTTTTTGATATCATGTATGTCATCACGCCATTATATCTGAATTATATTTGACTTCAAATAACGTTTTTTACATATTTGAGATATTTGTTTAATTTGTAAAGTGTAATACTAGAAAAGTATCACTACCTTTAACTACTACCAATTAACAAAATATTTTTTGTTATTTGTTGAATGAGAAATCTGGAGAAAATAAAACTCGGTAAGGAGTGACGTTTGATCGTAGCAAACGGAATTATTCTCCCCGACGGAACTTATTTTCAGGCCGATTAGTGCCACTTGTTGCATGAGTTCCCCAACCTTAACTAGTAAAAATAATAAAGTAATATCTCTTATGAAAAACTATTTATTAAATTATTGCTTTCAAGTTATGCGACGATAGGTTTATTGCTTATATTAATTTTTAATTGGGATTACTTTGTTGCTTGTTCAAATGACCTTTTAATTTCTAGATGCCCAATAATTTGTTCAAGTAACTATTAAAAGTAAAGCCTTTATAAGCTTTTTATATAAAAAATATATCATTTCGCATGTGAAACTGCTTCTTTCAGTTTGAATCGTTTTTGTGCTTTTAATTTTTCAAATGCCGACGTGGATGTACTTCTCGTATTGTAATCGCGAAATATGAGATATTTTGTTTTTTGTATGTTGAATGTCATCACTTGTCACTCATTTCCGTCCGTTTGTCGGTCTCTCTGTCTGTCCGCTAACCCTTGACCCGTCTATAACTTGGAAGGTACCGCTTGGATTTGGGTGACATTTTCGATACCGAGGATGAAAAAGTTTGGTAGTTTCTGATAGTCGGTCCAGGAATGGCACAGAAAAAACCGAAAACGAAAAAATTAAAATTTCTCAAGCCTATCCTCCTACCTTTTTTAAAACATCTTTAAAATTCAGAATCAAAAGCAGTTTCAACACTTACAAACATGAAAAAGCGTCCATGGGTTTGGGAATTCATCATTTCCATGATGCAGAATATTGAAACTTAGGTTTAGCGAAAAATTGACAGTAGTTTTTGCATAAATATGTTGTTTTCATAAAGCTTCCGCTTGTCAAAGTTTCACTTAGAACTTTCCGTTTTCGTTAAAACAACTTCCAGTTCACATATTATTTTTAGTATAATAATATTGAATTCTACATATCGGTTTATCTGAAGGATAATATTGGAAAGTACTGCTAGGATTTTGATGGAATTTTGACAAAAAGGGACTATTCTAAGTACTTAGATTTTTGACGATTCAGAGGCTCCTTCCTGTTCAGTACTGGGTTTTCTTTTCGAGAAGTAAAAAATTGATGGATGGTAGGGTATATCTGATTTTTGGCGTCAGCATATTTCAAATATGGATTAACCTTGACTTACAATGATAGAACTGTTTTCGATACATGAGTCGAGCGCAACGAAAATAAGAGATAAATTTGACGTGACTCATCTAAACTCTGATTGCAACATTATTGGAATGGTAGAGAGGAGAAAACACTAGATCGCAACGCTGTCAAATGAGTAGGAACTGGGGGATAATAAATTGTGTGACTCATGCAATCTATTAATTCCCTTGTTATACATAGTTAATTAATCTTTTTAGAAGAGGTCTAACTTATGTCGAACATAATCTGTTACTAACTGATGACAGCGTTATGTGAGAAGTATTGGGTCAACATGCTTAGCATTTTTCGCTTTTAGAGACGTTCCGGCAAGAACGCCACCGATAAAAGCTATAAAACACCTTTTTAAACGTGAATGTGATCTGTTACATTATTTGAAATTATTAACACTATTATTATATTTTAGCAGACATATGCGTACTATACCAAAAGTTATGTTAATATCAATCTGTTTTCGAAAAATGTAAAGTGAGGTGTTGTATGTATTATTGACTAAACCCTCGACATTTCTCGCGCAGAAGTAATGTAAAGTAAAATAGCCATTCGATTTACATTACCTTGAAGGAAATTGATTTGTGAGAAAGAAATGCAATATTCAAAGTAACATAATACTTCTTTGGCAATGAACATTTCTTCCGATACTTTAATACACCAATAAATTAATTTCAGTGCTTCGCTTTCTTTATATCTTCGAAAAAAAGAATGGAGTTTATTTGAAAATTTATCTGATATTGAAATGACCTTGAGGGTCATGGTCAGGTCCATTGGCAAGGAGAAACTTGATCTTAAAATTGTCCGCAATTTACATTCCAGGAATTAAGAATGCGTTTCGCGTTAAAAGTTCATTTGATTCAAATGCCCTTGATACTCATAGACAAGCTTATTGAAATACATGAGAATATATTTCTTGTTCTTTTTATTTCCGGTGTCACAATCAAAGTCACGTTCAAGGTCATCGTTAGATGAATATTTTCAAACTTCACAATTGTATTACGCTATTTAAGCTGTTCGAGTTTATAATAAACCATTAGAAATTGTGATAAGGGATTGCATCGTAAAAATAATAATCAATATAGTTCCCATAGTAAAAAGATCTTGAATGGAATCTTCCGTACTAAAAACTTTACTTTTCAAATGCCCCGAAAGAAAGTAATCTAAAGGACTTAGGTCCAGAGATCTTGGCGGCCACTCGATGGCGCCTCGTCTGCCGATCCACTGGTTTGGGAAATGGGGTCCAAAAACTATTGTAATGGAGCCACAATATCTTGTTGGAAATGAAGGAAATTTTCATCATAATTACGGTCATTTTCTATTATTTCTGTAATTCGTGGTTCTAACATGTCCAAGTACGTTTCTCCCGTCAAGTTTCCAGAAATAAAGGAAGGTCCTATAATATGATTTCCGAAAGTGCCGGTTCACACATTTATTTTTTCAGGATATTGCGAGTGTACGTCTTGAAAAAAATATGTATTCGAGTCACTTCAATATCGACAATTATGTCTCTTCATAGCACCAAGTATATAGAACATACACTCATCCGCGAAACAAATATTAAATAACAGATTTTCTTTGTTGATTAAACGTTGGGACATTATTTCCCAAATTTACAACCTGCATTCATTAAGATCATGGACAAGTTTAATCTGTACGGGTGAAATTTATTGTCTATCAAAATTTCTTGTACTGCTGAGCGTGTGAATCCTGAAAAAGTAGCCAGTCCACGAGTGCTTTCGATATTGTCAAGTAGTGCGACATGTCCCAAAATTGATATTTCTGCGGCTTTATTTCTAACTGGTCGATTTTCTCAATGGCGATTACGGCGAATATTAGACACAGATCCAGTTTCTTCAAATTTTCTTATCAACTCAGCCACATACTTATTTATCGTTAATATTTTTGTCTGGATGTAACGCATGAAACCGGGCAGCAGCTCTTGCAATGCTCCCATGTTGGTAATATTTGTTGTTTATACCTTTTCTTGAATTGAATAAGTCATTGTTCAATATTTATCATAACTAGGTAGGTAACTTAACAATTAGAAATGGAAGACAAAGTTTTTCTATGACATACGATGACACTTACTAGTGCTAAATGTTCTTGATGATTTCTAAGTCAGTCGTATTTCATTATAAACTCAAATAGCTTCACAACAATTGAAGATAGGTATAAACTTTATTATACAAAAGTTACTAAAAACTTCATGGAAAATCTAAAAATAAAAAAATGGAGGTTTCCGTTTAAAAATCTAAAGTATAACGCAATATGTTATTTTTGGATCACCTTGTATTGTACGGCTATAGAAAATATAGAAATCAAAATTGGCGTGTCGAAGTGCTTTCCCCAAAATATAGGAGAGGCACAAATAGGGGTGCGACCTTTTCGTTGGGCCACACTGTATTTGATTTTTCTGACTGGAAATGACCCCCATATTTGTTATTGTTATTATTAAAGAACCCATAAGTTTAAACACTTTGCATTGCAGTCGTTGGACTGGATTGTATACGTATTTGTCGCCCTCGCCTCGTTATCTGGTCTCTGAGCTGCTATAGCGCTACAAACTTCCGTAGATTATAATTGAAACCAGGTCAGCTTTTCGCTAAAATGTCACGTCACAGCAGCAGCGGCAGTGTTTTGTTTCGCAAAGACCTACTACGACTCGATGCTGTTAATTACCCGAAACAAGATTGCATTTGCATCCTGCTAAAGCTCTATATATAACATGTGTATATAACACCTTATATAAGCAAACCAGTATCTCTGATGTAAAGACGCGTTTTCACTATGCCGGTCGTCGTAGCTTGTGTAATTAATTACATATATAGTCTATAGACTTTCTGCGATGAAGGACATGCGGTCGTAGAAAAATGTTAACGAAGACGATGACAGTTGTTCTATGGTCAAATAATGGAGTAAGGTAGATTGATTTGGCATTTCCGACATCATATGACACCTACTTCAAACATATTGAACATCTGAACGTCCTATGGAATTTTGAACTCCAAAGAAAAATATTCGGAAAACGATTATTTCAAATCTCGAAATATTATTTATTGGATCTTCGACCAGCAAGAGGGATAGTCAGTTCTAAAATTATACACAGGGTGTTTTAGAAAGACGTGTCAATATTTATAGGATAGACAGTAAAAAAAACTAACAAAAAACGATATATATATATATATATATATATAACTTGAGACGTGGTCATTGTCGTCTAGACCAGTTAGGTGAAAAATTAAAGCTTCCGCCTTTTGTTGGGTACTTCGACAAAATTTAAGCAAAGAGGACTCTGTATGCTTTTTTAATTCTCTCTA